GGAGAAATTTCTCCAACCTGCCCAGATTCCTTGAAAATGCCGACTGACATCCATCTTCCCCTGTATTCTGGCAACTGGAAAGGTGGGAAAACTGCACACTGCATTTTAAGTCCTGAGACAGGAAGTAACCAGTAGGAATTCATTTTCCAGGGCATTCATTAAAATGTCCAATAACAGTTATCCTGTTTCGATCAACAAGATAAGATGACAGAAAGAACAGAGAAGGTGAAGGGCTGTGCAACGAGAAAATTTTCTCCACAATTTTCACCTTTCCAGAAGCCAGGGAGATTAATAAAGCACCGATCAATTCTTCTAAGAAAGGCAAAATGAAGTAAAAACCTTAAACTGCCTCTTATAAGAAAAGGGGGTGTGTAAACAAGTGGAGAGAGAAAATCTTATTCAGTAAGTGGTGATGTTGAAATGATAATATTTAACTATTTGCAAGAAATGGTTAAGTAGAAATCAGAATAAAATGTCAGAGATAGAGCTAAATGTAATACACAGAGAGAGAAGTAGATACAGATATAAAGATACATATCTATAAATGAATTAAATAAAAATACATCTGAACATAAAAGAGGTGGAAATAAGCTGGGGGAAAGAAAAAGGTTGAACAACGTATCATTGTGCAAAACATCAAGGCAGCATGGCTCCATGAAGCCTTTAATTAAATGGCTTAATCAAATTCCTTCTGGTCCCTGGAATGTCTGCATTCCAGGCTGAAGCTATCTCTCCAGCCTACAGAACCCCAACCGATGATCCATGCCCCTGTGAGATTCTCCCAGTATCCTCTCTACCAAGACTCCCTTCCCCCCTAATCAATACCCTTTCCTGAGGATGGCATGGTTTTCCTGTTCCCGACCACTTCACTGGTGCTCCTGTTCCCCAGCTTTCAAGCCTTTACAGAATCTTCTTTTTAATATCTCAAGCTTCTGACAGTACAAGAAAAGGAGATGGTAAAGAGAAGAGAAGGGGGCCGAGCCTCCAGGAGGAGAAGGCTGACAGTTCACTGCTAGACGGGACTTCACTGGCACACTCGGCGGTGCTGCGAGGCAGGGTTTAAGAGATGCCTGCTCCCATCGTCCTCTGACTGCAACTAGATGACATGCAATCAGTTTTTTCCAAAAACATATAAAATAAGAGCAACATATGCTTATATAAAACCATAAACTCATCTACCAATACAGAATAATTCCTGAAAAACTGGACTCTGAGGAACAGATTTAGTAACTCTTAAGAAGTCAAACGCCACCCTCTGAGGCCCTGTACAGCACCCAGATTCAGAAAACCTGCATGTGGGCCCTAATTCTGCCATGTACCACTGTGTAATTTTATCTTAGTCATTTAATTTCTAACTTTTACTTTCCCAATTTAGTCAATGGAGATAACAGTAATTTCTAGAATCATGAGAGTTTTTGAAAATTACTGATTCCTAAGTTGCCCCACCCCAGACCTAGGGAATCAGAATCTCAGAGATGGGGAAATTTGTAAGTCTTCTCTATTTCAAAATCTCCCTGGTGTGATCTGGACACATAGGACTCTGAGGACTGGTAGCTGGAAATGCTGCAGCACCTTGGTGGGTTAGCAACACCTCCAACCCTACCTTGCCTCTCTCACTGTTGCTCGAGTCCATAACCCCTTTCTCCCTGAGGAGTCAGGCTGCCCATGTGACGTTTAGAACTTGAGGAACCATCAGACGGTGACCCGGGAGCTGGGCAAGCAGGGGCCTCCTCCATCCCGCTGCCGACGAGGAGGTGCGGCAGAAACAAAGACATGCCTCCATCGTGTGAAGGTGGTTCTCAGACATGTTTCTTGTGGGAGGTGGTAGTTAGGAAAATGCTTACTTACATACAGGCCAGTGGAGACCCTGGTCTGGCTTGGAAGCTAAGAGCTATGTTCACACTACTTCAATGGGAAAAATGCTTTGCAACCTCCAGAGGAACAATTCATTATTATATGTTTGGAGCTGCCAGCACACAGAAATAGGGATGCAATCCAAAATGCTGAGGTCTGGTTTCTGGATTTCTTCCAAGTGATTTTTGTCTTCTTTTAGTGTAACCATGAAATTACACTTGACACCTTTTTAAGTACCGAGCTTTCTTTGATTCAATACCTACGTCAGCTTCTTTCAATGATTATTTTCCTATTATCAGAGGTTAAGGGACAGAATGCAATTCTTTAAAGAAGTGATTTTGAATGGACAAATCAATCCCCTTGGATTACCGGTGAGCTTTTAACCAACTGTTAGAAATATGTGCTAAGAGTCAAAGACTAACACAGGAACCGGCACTGATTGATAGGATAAAGTAAAACAGCCCCCAATAATACCGACTTCTGATCATGTGCCAGTGTGCTAGTTATGGTTACACATAATATTTCAGCCTTTATTCTTCCGGTCAAATTGTTAAATTGCTTTCTATTTCCTCTGCTAAAACCCTAGTTTGCACCTGAGCCGGCAAGTACCATAAGCACCATCAGGACAACGTATGTTTATAAAGCACTTCTGTTTCCAAAGGGCTCTCACAAGCATTAGTTTATGTGTTGCTCACAACAGACCCGCAGCAGGCAGATCTGATATCAGCCCCATTTTATAACGGGCAGCTGAGTCGGCACTCGGCCAGCCATCAGGGAGTGGAGGTGGGCCACCTGTTGAAGGGTGTGAGGAACAAGGGGAAGCCAAGCGGACATAGTGAGTGGAGACCAGACCACACGGAGCCGAATTCTTCAGAGTGTGAACCAACTGAATAGCAACATTCATTGACTCCAGACAACTGGATCTGCTTCCAGAAAACAATCATGGGAAAGAGTCATCTAGAAACGAGGCTAAGGAACAGTGGCCGCCATGTGCCCCAGAAGCCTTCAGATCCTTAGGTTGCTAATGTCCTCTACCATCATGCCCAGAGGTGGCAACCTGAGGCTCAGAGTCTTTAGTACCACCCCCCCATCCCCTCATTCCCTTTGGCTTATGAATTAATGAGAGGAAAAGCTCAGGGAGGCTATCCATCGCTGGTGTGTTCTTTCCATGAGTCAAAAAGTTGACCCACAAAAGACTAGCAGAATCCTAGAAACAGAGCTCATGAGATTCGCTCAATCAGCAAATTGTTGCTGAGCCCCTTCTATGTGCAACCATTCTTCTAGGCAACAGGATGCAGCAAGGAATCAAAGAAAAGACCAGCTCACATGGAGCTTCTATTCTCACCACGGCACCCACGTTTAGGCCTTTCTACTTGCTTGTAACTCTTCCTGGACCACTCTACCCCCAGAAATCTGCATGAGTCACTTACTCTCTAACCTCCTTCAGATTTTTACTCCATTAACACCCTTTCTGCAAGGTCCTCTTCCAACCACACTATGCAAACTCGCATCATCTTCCAGAACCATCCTTACCTATTTTCCCTAACACTTATCACCATCTAACACATTATATGTTTCTCTTATTTTTTCTTATTTTTCTCCTCCCACCAGAATCCATGCTTCAGAAACGCAGGGGTGATTGTCTGGTTTGCTCATGACAGTATCCCTAGTGCCTTTAGCTATAACTGGCACGTAGTAGGCATGAAATAAATCCTGGTTCGTTCGCATGATCAAACAAGGCTTTTGACACATGCAGATATACGCAGGCCTCCTGTGTTCACCTGTATTCATTATCATAAGCCTCATGGATATTCCTACATAGGCCTAAGTTCCTTCTCTTGGTCATACAGTTTTAAAAGCCCTATATGTCCAAATTTGCAGGCATTTATCCTTACTTTACTTGGTTTGCTTTAGTTCTTTGTGCTTAAACGAAACATTTTTCTCTTCTTATGTGGTCTTCAAACATGAGCATTCTCTTCTTTTCATACTCAGACCATTTATTACATTCCCTGCAGAATCCCTAAGCACTTAAGACTATTTGTAGCTACACATATGTCAATTCACAATATCACAAAACAGCTCTACAAAAGATAAAAATGATGTCAAATGTCTAATTTTTATTCTTTTCAAATGCAATCTCTGACTTTAAAAGTAGGCATACATGTAAACAAAAGCAGTCTAACTGAATTAAAATTCCAAATCTAATAAAACCTTCCCCTCTCTTCCTCTAGTATATCTTTGGATGTCTCTAAATAGTTGGGTTTCTCAATGCAAACATCTGAGTTGCAGTGATTTTCAAGAGAAAGATATGAATGTACAAGGCCTCTGATACAGAAATAATTAAATGCTATGCTTCTTAATTCTCTAACTCCTCAAGAAACACTGGCTAACAAGGAGAAATGAATGGAAAATGCCAGAAGAGCTGATCTTATGGCCTGTTCTCCCACCTACTATAATGTGACCCCAGGGCCAGTTTTTGCTTTCTTATCTGTACAAAGATAATATACCCTGACCTTCTCACCACAAAGAACTTTTCCGGGAATAACATAAATTAGTAGTGGGATATGCTCTAAACTACACAGCAACAGTCAAATGAAAGGTAGAATGATTTTGCCTAAAGGCCAAGTCCTCTTAACGGCTCCTTGAGGCGCAGTAAAACCCACAGTACCGTTGACCCTTGAGCTGTGCAGGGGGTTAGGGGCGATGATCCCCCTCCCCCGAGTCAAAAATCCGCATGACTCTAACTCTCCCAAAACATAACTACTAATAGCCTACTCTTGGTTGGAAGCCTTACTGATAACATGAACAGTTGATCAGCACACATTTTGTATGTTATATGTATGTTACACTGTATTCTTATAATAAAAGAAGCTAGAGAAAAGATGATGTTAAGAAAATCATAAGGAAGAGAAAATACATTTTCAGTCCTGTAGTGTGTTTATGGGAAACAATCTGTGTAAGTGGACCAGTGCAATTCCAGCTCATGCTGTTCAAGGGTCAGCTGCAGTTCTTTCTGCTTCTCATCCCCTTATATCAAATACATCACAAAAAAGTAATTCTTTATAGATACATTTTGGGATATACCTTTGACTGTATTGTCCTCAGATTTTTTTTTATTAAAGATTTATTTATTTATTTTTATTTGAGAGAGAGAGAATGAGAGAGAGCGAGTACATGAGAAGGGGGAGGGTCAGAGGGAGAAGCAGACTCCCTGCCGAGCAGGGAGCCTGATGCGGGACTCGATCCCGGGACTCCAGGATCATGACCTGAGCCGAAGGCAGTCGCTTAACCAACTGAGCCACCCAGGCGCCCCTGTATTGTCCTCAGATTAACGAGATGAATGTCACAAGGCAAAGATGACAGTAACGGAGAGAATTCACCTAGCAGCTGAGGGGTGGACACGGGGATCTTTTCTGTCATTGTAAAGACAGGATGATTCAGGAAAGAGGAAGTTATGTGGCTAACGAGAGAAGGATAACTGACTGACTTCTTTTCTTCTTCCTATCAAGAAAAAACAGAAATGCTTAAGTGTTATATATATATATGCAGTTTTCACAATATTAATGGAATTACCTGACAGGGTTTAAATAGAAAAGAAATATAAACAAAAACAAATATTTTAATTTTATATTTTGTAAATAACAGTCTTAGCCAACACAGAGATTACCAAGTCCATTTGTAAGCAATACAAGAAAATGAACAGTGTCCACCTAACTCATGTTTAGAAAGATCTTTTTTCCATTGCTTTAGTACTAAAAATCCTGATAACATTTTCCAAAAAACATTTTAGGACAAGGCATAACATTTTACGGAAACTCTTTCTCAACCTACCACAAAATTCTTAAATAGATGGGCTGGGATATTCACACATCTTGCACATCATCAAATGTGATCTCTTCTCCCTCAGGTTTTACCCACCATATACTCATGGTTTCATTTATACACTCAACTAGACCATAACATCTTGTGATCTGAAGCTATGCTCCATACATGTTACCCAATGACAGGATTTTTGGGGGAAAAACTCTCAAAATAAATAAGGTTTTTAAAATAACACAAGGAGTATACCTATATCATCTGTTAAATTTGGTAAATCACTACCACTGAACTGAAACTGTTAAATTATGTTATATAATAGTTAGTACATATTTACCTAGTACACAATTATTCAGTAGAATTTAAAAGTACTTTAGTCATTGCTATGGTATATACTTAAAGACAAGTGGTTCTGCATGTTCAAACATTAAACAAGTCTGCCAGGGCTGGCGATAGGCATATGGTAGATGACACACTCAATTAACTAAATCAATGACTAAGTAGAATCTTAACCAATAATGCCTAAGGTATAAGAGCACACAGAGAAAAACACTGAGAAGAGAAAATAATTTATGTAGAAAGGTTTTTTGATCAACAGTGACATGTGGAACAAATTTAATTTTGTATCTTATTTTTAAACTGTCCATTTCACTGATATCCTCTGATTTTGCATCCTTTCTGCAATACAGGGCTCAAATAAAAGGCTTGGCTACTTATCTGGCCGAAAAGATAGGATTTATAGGAGATACGGGGCTTAAAATTCAGAATGTCAGATTAGCACTGAACAGAGGGTATTGAGCAAAGAGTGACAAGCATCTTGCCAGCAGCGAACTGTAGATGTCATTACAATTCAGACTATGGAGAAAGAAAAAAAATTAAAGGCAGTAGAGGGACAGTGCATACTGAGATACTGACACAAGGTCTAAATGACTTGTAAATAAAATATGCACCCATCCCACACTCTTTTTTTAAAAGAAAGATTAAAAAAGCATATATAATAATATTCACCAACAATACTGAAATTTAATGCATGTTGTTGAATACTGAGGGAACAGTTTCAACTGGAAACTTTAAATGTACTCCAAGATCAAAGGACTTCATAATCTAGGTCAGGATTGCTGACAAAATCACTTTTCAATAATAAAAGATAAAAGATCCCAACAGAAAAGAAGACACCTGCCGTATCAGAATCAGAAGGCATTAAGTCCATTCTAGGTCAAGTAACATTCAGAGAAAGCTCTCTGGCTTTGTTCTATGCTCTTGGAGGAATCCCTGGACACTTCAGTGAATAGGTGGGATACTTCTTGATGGATTATGTATACCTTTCAAACAGTAATGTGCATATATACTCTTCCTCCCAACCACACCAGTTCCCTTGACTCTCAGTGCCCCCCTGCAACCTACCATACATAAAAATGGCTTGGGGAGCTTTAAACATAGATCCCCGAACCCTAACCCAAATCTACTTAATCAGAATTTCCAGGGGTGAGCCCTAGGAAGCCAAAGCTTAACAGCCCCCAGAGTGAATCTCAAATCTCGGTCAGTCTGACACAGCTCTGTGGACACGTGCTGGGAACCATCACCCCAGACATCCTCCCAACCTTGTAGAAGAAACCGCTGCCTTTGCAATCAAATGTCTGAGTCTCATCCTTTAACTAGTTTTGGATTAAGAAAATGATTCAGACTCAGAAACATGTTAATGCTAAGTCTCGTCAAAGGAAACAATATCATGACTGTAAGTGCTTCGAGAATTCAAGAACTGTGCCATTTACTGTCCTAAGCAGGATAAGGGAGAGAAGTTTAGGGAAGATTTGTGGTTCAGAGCTATAAAAGCACCACGAACAAATAACGCTGCTGGAAGCTGGCCAGGCAGGGTGGGACAAAATCTCACAGAAGGTTCCATGATTCATGCACTTTCTTAACATGTTTATAGCAACGAGGGGCTCGACAAGATATTTAGCTGGTGAATTATCACCTTTTGATTAATCTCCTGGAAAGGTAATCTTTTAACTGTAACCTTTATGATAAACCCAAAGCTTATAACACATGTTTGCTATAGGAAATTTTAAGCTGTAAATGAATTCTCCAGACTTGCAGTACTAATATACTACTCTAAACATTATTTGGTTCCTTGTGGGTTGGAAGGCTTCAAGCTGTTCAGATCTAGCTTTCTCCTTGCATTCTGTATGAAATTATAAAGAGTTTATAGCACATTCTGATCCAAACCACAAGAAGTTGAGATCTCCATTGGGTTCCAGCCCTTATTTTATAAATCAGAACTTCCTGCTAGGCTCCATGGTGTCCTTCATGAAGCCCATTTAAGTTATCTGATCCCTAAACATCAAAGGTTTCCATCCATCTACAGCAAAACTTGCTAAATAAATTATCTAAGACAATAAGAGATGATATTTTGAGTCACTTTGGCTTATTCAGTATGACCTGATACATGGTGAGAACTGGATAAATGTTTTTTTAAACTTAATCTATCAACAAGTAAATGTAATATAAATAAAGGAGAGAAAAATACAGTAGGAGAAAGGATGTGGTAAAAAGAGACAGAAGAAATAATTGATGAAAATTAATGAATCATAAGATTTAGAAATATATCTCATTTAGCGCAGAGGTGAAGCCTGGTGATCTGTGAGCTAAATCTGCCTACAGATAGGTTTTGATAGGTCTGCATGGTATTAAAAAGTTGTCTGTTTTTTGGCCAACTCTCAAAAAAGAAAAAAAATCCAGGAGATTTCACAGTGAAATTGTCAACAACAACAAAAAAACTCCCTAAAACAGGTAACTTTTTTTTTTTTTAAAACCCAAAACACTGGAAACCCAAGTCACCCTGGGCCCCCATATTCCCTCAAGCGCAGCTGAGTTGTAGCTCCTTGGTGGGATGTGTCCTCACTCATCACAGACCTGGGGTCACCTCACTTACGCGTTTGCCCTTAAACCTGACCAACCTCCCTCATGCCATCACTTTTCTGAGTCCTGTCAGCATTTGAGCTTTTCATCTGATCTCTCCTAGCTCCTTTTCCTGACATGTAAAGAACTGGTATCCACAGGTAAAATGACACAACTGTAATACCTGAACACTTCCCAGCACTTCTAATTCCTGGTTCAATGCCCTCTACCTATAGCAGTCTTCAGCAGGAAGGGATAGGGAGTAAGTGTCAAAGAAACAAAACCTAAAGGGTCAATGCCAAAGAGACAATTCCCACTTTCCGCTTCCGTTGGTCATTACACATGGATGATAGTCCACCTCACATAGCTACAGTAACCCACTGGGCATCTGCACATCTCACAGCAATTATCATTCCAGTCCTTGTTCTCACTGCCTCTCTGCAGAACACTCACGAACAGGATTCGGTTCCACTTAGTCACCCAGATAACTCCTCCCAGAGGCTCTGGCAGGCTGAAGACTTTCTACTAAAATGCCTTCCTGTACAGAGACTGTCTCCTCACCATGGTTCCTACCATCGACATCTTAAACATGAGAGTCTGAGTTGAAAATAAAAACACTTTCTATAAAGTTTAAGTTATAGGAGATGGAACATTCCTTAATCAAATGCCTTTTTAATCAATTGCACTAGAAATTAAAATGTATTTTCTCTTCTCTAGTTCATTTTTTATTGAAAAGAAACTATTGATTTAAGTCCAAGAATCTATAGTTGAGCAAAAAGAAAAATTTAACCAACATAGGATTATACAAACACTGGATCAAATTTCAATCAATTACTATCCAAGGAGTTTTGAATGGGAATAAACAAATTATTTCACTTCTAAGTGAAAGCTTTATAGATCTGACATGAAAATGCTTATTGCCATAGTTAATAGAAGCTTTGCAAATTAGTGTCTATATAGAGAGAAAAAAAAAAAATCATAAAAGCCAGAGACATTTTCGGGAGGAGAAAAAGACAGTAGCTGCCAGCACTCAGACAATAATTTTCCTGTGCAGTTTTAGTCCTCAAATTAAGCTATCTTGTCAGTAATTGATTTAAACCATGAGTCCCAAGAACTGGTTTAAATCTTGACATCTAAAAATGGATATTAGGGCGCCTGGGTGGCTCAGTTGGTTAAGCGACTGCCTTCGGCTCAGGTCATGGTCCTGGAGTCCCTGGATCGAGTCCCGCCCGCATCGGGCTCCCTGTTCGGCAGGGAGTCTGCTTCTCCCTCTGACCCTCCCCCGTCTCATGTGCTTGCTCTCTCTCATTCTCTCTCTCTCAAATAAATAAATAAAATCTTAAAAAAAAAAAAAATTTTTAAAAAAAAAAAAAAAAAATAAAAATGGATATTAAAATCTTTTTTCCTAAAAGATTCTAGATACTGAAAGAATTCTTGGCTTTAATGAGCTGTTGCCATTTCATTCAATCAACCAGTGTTTTATTTATAGAATAGCTACCATAGGCATGGAGCCCTGTGGGGTACATAAAAATGAAGCAGACAAGTCCCTGGAATGGAGCAGGGGAAGAGAACATGCCGAGTATGACAAGGCAGTAAGCAGGGGCTGGGATAAATGCGGTGGCACCATGCGCTATTACAGCTCACTCATTTATGCATTTGTGCATTCATTCATGCAACACATATCGGGTGCTTCCTCTACCAGGAACAATTCTAGAAGCAGAGGAACATGGCCCCCACTCTCATGAAGTTATGGTCCAAAAGAGGAGAGAGACAATGATCAAATATAATCACATCTATGCACGGAGAACAGATGCGCAATTCTGAGGAGGCACTGAGGATGGTGATCTGGCCTGGTCAAGAAAAAGCAGTTGACCAAGGCAGCTTTGGCCTGAACTATTATGAAGAGTTCCCTGGGCACAGAATGAAACCACAAATGCAAAGGTGCTGTGGGCCCCAGGTGCGTAGGGAGCACTTGGGACTGAAAGAAAACTAGTGGGCCTAGAGCAGAAATAACACGAGTCATGCTGGATGAAGCTGGGGGACAGGCAGGGCCCAGATCATGAGGGGCTCTTCAGGCCATGGGAAGGATTTTGGCTTTTATTAGGAGAGCAATGAGAAGACACCTGAGGGTTAAGAAGGGAGCAGTGAGGTCAGATTGAATTTTGAAAAGATGAATCACTTTGCTTACTTGATTTGAGAACAAATACGGCAGGAAAAGAAGAGCAGAATGATTCAGGAAACACATGATGTTTGTTTAGATAATGGTGGTCAAAATAAGCGAGTTTATAGATTTGAAATATTTAGGCAATAAGATAGTCAACACTGGTGATCATTGTTTTAAGAAAGGGGCAGGCAAAGGAGAAGTATCAATGAGAGATGACTGCTATGTATGTGGCACTGGATGGAAGGTGGTACTAGTCCCCGAGAGAGCAAACACTAGAAAAGAGCAGGTCTGGGGGGAAGGGAAGAGAGATCATGAGAGTGATCATGGATATGTCGGGTCTGAATAGCAGGATGCAGCTAGGTAGATGGGTCTGCAGTTAAGAGGTGAAATATATGTGTGGGTTTCATCTGCGTAGAGGTGGTCACCAAAGCCACAGGAGTAGGAGAGATTGCAGAGGGAGAACATATAAAACGAGAAAAGGAGAAGGCGTGGGGCCAACCCTTGAGGACTCTGACATTTAATGGCTTAATAACCATCAGAGAGATAAAGAACCACTTGAGAGCTAGGAGGAAAACCAGATGAGCATGGCACCACGGAAGCCCTGGCTAGACTGTCTTCTAAGAAGTGACATGGTCAGTGTCGAATGCTGCTGCAAGGTGAAGTAAGATGGTGGATCTCGTGACACTGGCAAGGGTGTGTGTGTGGTGGGGGAAGCTAAAGCAAATCTGAAATGAGTCGAGTGTGACACGGAAGCAATGAAATAAACCCATCTTCCAAAGCGGCTCAACTGGGTGTGGAAGACAGGACGGGAGAGCAGGGCAAATGGACACGAGTCTGTGTGGAGGTTGTTTTTGGTATGTATGTATGTATGTATGTATTTATTTATTAAAGATTTTATTTATTTTTTAGAGAGCGAGCGAGCGAGAAACAGCATGAGAGGGGAGAGGGTCAGAGGGAGAAGTAGGCTCCCCGCTGAGCCAGGAGCCTGATGTGGGACTCGATCCCAGGACCCTGGGATCATGACTCGAGCCGAAGGCAGACGCTTAACCATCTGAGCCACCCAGGCGCCCTTGGTTTTTATTTTTAATAGGAGAAAATGAAGAGTGTCTAAAAGCCTGCAGAAAGGGTTTCTTTCCTAGGGAAATGTCAGCTATGAAGGGCAGAGAGAGGGAAGGAGGATGATGATGCTGAGGAGGGCGCTGGGGTACGTTGCAAGGACAAGTGGAGGTACTGGCCTGGGAGGAAAGGAAGGTAAAAATGTCTCTATTGCAACATGAGGGAAGAAGGAAAGGGTGGGAGGAGATGGTTGATACCTAGAACAGAGAGCCCTGTCAGATGTGAAGTCGATGGTGAGGCCACCAGCTAAAAAGAGTAGAAAAGATCTGAAATGGATCAGTGAAGAAAGAAGGAGAGCAGAGTGAGAAAAAAAGGGCTGTGTACAGATCATCTGAGGTGGGAAATCAGTAAAGCACGGAGGACTGTGATGATGACTTTTGTGTAGCCTTGAAGAGGCGTATTGTCATGTTGGTTTACATCCAACTGAGCTTTAGCCAGATTTTTTTAATGGAATGCTGAGGTTTTGTCTTGAGAAATGAAAACTGAGCAAGAAGATAGACAAGTAAATCCATTTTCAATTGAGGAGTCTAAGACTAGAATAAGCACACTAAGGTTTCCCATAAATTTTACTAATCAAACTTAATCTAAGTATGTGATTAAGTTCTATTCTTAAATTCAACTCTTATTTTCTTTCAAAATAATCTCAGAAAATCTCACCCAAACTGATTCTTTAACATTTTACATCTACATAATAAGGAAAAATAAAAAATAAGATGACCTAAATGCAAATCTGACATATGTGTAACTGAAGTTCTCTTTTTTGTCAATATAGGCTACACCTATTATAAAGATATCTCAATCCTGGGAACTGAAAATCATAAAAAAAGTGGACAGTCATAATTTCAAATTTTGGGTGGCAAAGAACAAACAACATCAGAACGTATGAGTTATTATTTTTTCCTACCGTATTCACACTTCTTTTTTCCAGTAGTAGTCGAAATAAATTAGCTGTAACCTTGTTATCATGGACACCTTGCTCAAGGCCGCGATTATCATCTTGCATGAGTCTTCGATCCATGATAACTTCAATCTGACCTAACAAACAAACAAACAAACAAACTGGCCAGAGTTATTTAATACAAACATCCAGTGACAATCACATAAGTTTAGGCACGGTCCTGATTTAAGCCAAGGAGACAGATCCATATAGCCCAAAGTACCAAGGGCTTTCTCAAAACAGCTAGGATAAATGCAAAAAACAGGACTTTATTTCCATTCTTCTTCATAAATGTCTGGTAAAATTTGGTAAGAAATTTGAAAATGAGACAGATCAAAACTTAAGTGAAATTTAAAAAGAATTAATCTGAAGAGTAAATTATGTCCTCTAAAATTTTTAGTGGTAGCACCTGGAATTTAAAAACATTTACGAGGTTCATTAGGAAACATACATCACACCTGGAGTAACAAGGCAACTACAGATGTGTAGAATCTAAAAAGGATTTGAAAGACTAAGCGTTTTGGTTACTTGGTATCTGCTGATTCTCTGAAGAAACCCCAGGATTTGGAGACACCCAGCACGTACCCCCTTCCCTCCCTGGTATTAAGTTAGTGGCATCAACTATCCTCTCTCCTCTAGTTCAAGAAGAGGTCATATTTGGTTCCTTCATTGGCTGTGCAGTAATTCCACACCTCCTCTAGGTTAAGTTGTAAGCTAAGAATTAGGCTATGAGACTACAAACCAAAAAACCCTATCCAAAACAAAGCAAAAAACCACCCAGAGCCACAGTCATATATTTACACTAAAAAAAAACCTAGTCATACATAAAAAAATATATGCATATTCATCCATCCACTCATTCACATTTGTTACAGTACTAAATGATCTTTTGGCATAAAAGAGCAATACATAAAATATTTTAATAACTATTATTTTTACACAGTCAATCCAACTCTGTTTAGTTCTTTCTTCTCAATTTAGGTACCCAGTACATAAAACTGCCAGTGATGGTCAGAATTTTCGTTGTTACTACCTCCATATTTATTTTAGAACACAACTGTCTAGAATGTGCTCCTCAGGCACTGGGACGAATTGGCCATCTAGAGCTTGATCATGTCACACCCAAATGAGTACATCAATCTCTTGGCAGTTTCTCTCTTCTCCCTGCCTCCAAATGTTAGCCCTCATAATATGTGACACTCAGTAAATCTCCTGGGCTGTACTCAAATTGTTCTTCTGTTTGTAGGTACTGAAATGCTAGGGTGCTTGGCTGTCTGTAGCAGGGGCACCTGGGCCAGGTGTGACTCTTGAGCCCCCCATTTTTAAACGTTGCCTTAAATTCTCAAAGCTGGGTCCTTAAATAGGGAACTAGACATTAGGACTGGAGCAATCATGGAGTAGACAGTTATGTCACTTCCCTTGACAAAGGCAAGCTGAGAAATAAAGCTCCTCTGTCCCTAAACCACATTTAGGAATTTTATGTGAAGTTGTCCAATCTATAAATAGTTGACTTAATTTTTTAAAAATCAAAACATATGGAGTGCCTGGGTGGCTCAGTCATTAAGCGGCTGCCTTAGGCTCAGGTCATGGTCCCGGGGTCCCGGGATCGAGCCCCATATTGTGCTCCCTGCTCCCTGGGAAGCCTGCTTCTCCCTCTCCCACTCCCCCTGCTTATGTTCCCTCTCTCGCTGTCTCTCTCTTTCTCTGTCAACTAAATGAATAAAATCTCCAAAAAAAAAATAAAAATAAAAACATAAAAAATTCCAGACTCCTGGGCTCTTCAGAAGCAGAAAAATTTGGCAACCCTGGGCCCCTTTCCCCATGGTGACAACAACCTGGCGCTGAGCAGCGGCTGCCCCACCGTTCACTGGGAATGGTGTGCCCCAGTTTGCCGAAGCCCCACCACTCCCCGCTGCATCCCTGATGTGAGGCCATTATTATTTTTCTAACAGCGTTAATGTCTTTACGGCATCATCTCATGAGTCTGTGTAATGAAAGCCACAAAAGAAGATGAGTAGTATGCTTTTTTGTGGGGGTGGACATATGGAATGTATGTATATGCCCAATTAAAAAAGTGGGTTTGGGGCAAAGGGTACGTCAGGTACCTGCACACCTTTATTATCTGCCTGGCTCCTTAAGACATTTGTCTTAGCAACTCTTAATATGTAAGAAAGAAGAGCAATTTGACTACATATAAATGATAATGAAAAAATATGTATTATAAAGGACATACGCCTCTCCATAGAAGGTTTTATAAAAATTAATCTGTGTTTACGATTTATTTTCTCTGTCCATCTTGTTCTATCTTTTGGAATCCTTAAAGTTGTGTCTGTCACCTCTTTATCTGCCTAGCTGTATCATTGCAACTCCCTTTCTTCTTTCGGGTAGAAGTGCCCTAGAACGATACGATTCAGAGAAGGACCTAGGTTTGAACTGTTACGTCCCGCCTTTGCGAACTTAGGCAACTCTGGGAATTTCTAACTTTTACCCCAGCTCCCTCTCCTCTTTGGCTTCTGGGAGAGTTTCCACAGCCATTCCATTATGACAACGACAGAGGCTTGTGCAAACAATGAGCTATCAGGAGAGAAAAATTATCTTTAAGAAGCCATGGTTTCATGGAGCTTTAGGTCCCTCATTCTTCATCAGAAGATTGAAGAAATACATTATTTTATGTTATTCTCACAAAACCAAAATTAACTAATAGCTGGTGTCTGAAGATGATAATTAATAATATGACCAACAGAAAAATTATACATTTGGAACTGAAACTTGTAAGAGCAAAAAAGAATCCAAACAACACGCACCACTTTTCAAACTTGAAACCCCTAAAGACTGAGCTGAGAGTAATGTCAAGCGATGCTTGGTGTCCTGTATATAGGCCATTGTGGTCATCGGATAGACATTTGCTTGAAGAGGCAATTTGCTCATCGTCATTCTGGGCTGAATCTATAAGACCAAACAGTTCACTTTAAAAAAAAGAAATCAAGGGATATTTACAGATGTACTTTAAAAAATTAGTACTGACTACAGATGACGTTTCTTCCAAAAAGAAAAAGGTATAGCTTCCTTTCTTGTTCAAAGGAAGAGCTAATTTAGGAATTAAAACATTCTTTCAAACAATATGAAAAAAAAAAATGAGGATCTTAGAAAACTTTTAGGTGAGAAAGGTAGAACTTATCCAGGTTCTTAAAATAGGCATTCCTATTTAAATTCAGAATAAAAATCCTTAACAAAAGTCTTCTAGCTTTCCAATATTTGCATAAAACAAATTATAAAGGTAGCAAGTATTCATTTCTCATCTAAATCTAACATACTGCTTTTGTAATGAATGCTAAGCATAATAGCTCTCTATCCCCTTTCAAAAAATCTCTCTTATAATTCTTGAATCAGTTTTAATAAATACCACAGATCCCCTTATCAAATCCTCTAACATATTACATTAAAATAATCAAATTAATATTTATATTTAAAAACTCTTCAGTGCTTATTCTTCCTGTTTAGTGTCAATGTAGGTAGTTCCATATTTTAACTTCTCTTGGTCTGGTATGTGAATGCATGAAATACATTATTTTATTTTTTGACCGAAAATTCACTAAGCTGGTTGGGGCTGAGGAGAGTCCCTCAAACCTCAGGAGGAAACATCAAACAGAGACTTTGTTATGAGGTATCTTATTCACACCACATAAAAATGACATCTCTCCTGTTCAGCTCATGCAAGTCTGACATGACACTCAAGAAGAAAAGGAGTACAAAGTTAATGTAATAGTATTGAGTGCCCATTATAACGAGACAAAGTACGGGCATTCACAAATATGATCTTTAATCTTTACAACAACCCTGTAGTGCATCCTTTAACTTACTGGTTGTACTGAATAGTGTCCCCCAAATTCATGGTCATCCATAACCTGTGAATGTGATTTTGTTCTGAAATAGGATCTCTACAGACATAAGGTATAGTGGATTAGGGTGGGCTCTAATCCAAGGGCTGGTGTCCTTCTAAGCGGGAAACCTGGACACGAAAGGACACACACGGCAACACAAGGAGAATGCGACAGGGACTCTGGGACAGCAGAGGCAGACAGTGGAGTGATGGGTCTACAAGCCCATCAGAAGCCCCAACAGGCAAGGAAGAGTATTTCCCTAGAACCTCTGGAGGGAGTGTGGCCCTGAAGACATCTTGATTTGGGACTTCTGGTGTCCAGAACTATGACAGAATAAATTCTTGTTGTTCTAAGCCACCCATTTTGTGGTAATTTGTATCACAGGCCCAGGAAATTATGAACCTGAAGAAACAACTGCAAAATGTTAAAAAAAAAGAAAAAGAAAGAAAGAAAGAAAGAAAAAAGAAGAGAGAGTTTCAAAGAATTTTCCATTTCTCCTTTCCAATCTGGATCTTCCCAATCAAATTAACTTGTATACTCACTGAAAAGGACATTCACACTGTCATGACTATAGGGCTGCCACCCTCACTCCCTACCTGTTAGTCTAGATTTCTAGTTTTGCTCAAGGACTACTCTTTCCAAGGCTTAAAAAATGGCCTATTTTAGAAGCAGAAATATTTAGGTCATAAATTTAGAAATTTAGAAGTTTAGAAATAATATTTTCCCATTTATTCAAATGCTTGATCCTTGAAAAGAAAATTCACATGTTTATTCACTTTTACTAAGTTTTTTTCATTCATGTATACACCCACACATACAAATAATTGCTTTTGTAAGATTTTAAGAAAAGAGTTTCTTTTGTACACAAGGAAAATGAATCACCATAAAGTCAGGGCTTCATTTGAAAACCAAACAGCTGTGGTAGAATTAACATGTAAATTCAAAGTGTATAATGCAATTTTTATGCTTTGGAAAAGGTTTAAATTTAACCTTTGCAGGAAATTGTAGAAGAGAAAATTATCACAACCCCTTCCACTCATCCCAGTTGAAAATCAGACAAAGTAAAATCATTTGTTGTGAAATTATTTCTATTCATAGCCAGAAATTTCTAAAATGCTAATGTCTCAAAAACATGCTAATGTTTTTAGTGGTAGTATTTCAAAGCTATGTTGTCACACACATATACTCTGAATATAGAAATTTATGTAACAATCAAAAGAGCCCTATTAAATTAAAGAGCTAACAATCTGAAAAAAATTGAGTCAATTTTCTCATTACTATTTCAAACTATTTTGTGAACATTTTGATTAAATACATACCTGCCCACATTTCTATATATGTGCTTGTATTTCTTTGTCTATGTATATGTACACAAGTGTGTGCATAAAGGTAAATACACATACATTATTGATAAAAAGAGGGAAAGAGCTTTCCTGAAATTTAAAAGAGCCCATTATTACATTATACATTTAAAAGTATATATGTAATAGATTAAATACACACATACCATTTCTTTATGAGGGGAAAAATACATACTCCACCAATCCCTAATTATGTTTCCTTTCTATTAAACAAATTCAGATATATTTTGGTGTCAAGGCATTTAACATGCAAATGGTCACCAAATCTGCCTTTGAAAAAACTACCTCCGTAAATCAGATGCTCTACAAACCAATCTCTCAAATATCTGTTCTAACTTTGGACATCTGGTTGAATATAGAACCTATAAGTACCTGTTAAAATTCAGTTTTCCTTTAGAAATAATTTGTAAACTTAAGCATATTTTTCAAAGGATCCAAAATTAACTGGCCCACTACCATATATAAAAGTTACACACTAACACAGCTATTACTTAGACATTTTAAGGGAAAATTACCTGATATCCATTCAGGTCAGTATAGAATTTGTTTTGACTGTTTATGCTAGAAGAAATTCTCATTGCAATCTCACGGTTATGTTCTTTTCAGATGTCCACGATATTGGACACTTCCACAGACTGTCCGTCTATTCCTAAATTTAAAAGAATATATATGTTAATAGAAATTGATTGCTCCACTTTTCTTATACTGTACAGAACTTCCAGAGTGACATACATTTTCCCGTTTTCTATTCCTATCTTCACCATTTTTCATGCTAACTGTGCCACCGTTCACCTTTTTCTTTCTTTTCTTTCTTTCTTTTTTTTTTTTTTACACTGTCAGACAGTAGAAAACATTTACTCCGGAGAACATGTAACTCAACAGAAGGATGAAGAGCTTGGGATGAGATAAACGCAGATGAAATATAACATGCAAATGATTCTCCAATGAGTTCTGGAGGGAAAAGAGAACTTTAAATGAGAAAAGGTTAGCCCCACTCCAGGCCAGGCCGCCTGTCACGTGTACGGCCATTCTCCAACAGAGCCATGTGAGCTTATTTCTTCACGGCTCGCCTTCCGTGCTGGAAATCTGAAGCAGTGAGATCTACACTCTGTTGGTTCAAGAGACAGTCTATTACTGCCCATGATCTATAATCTAGGAAAAGAGACACGAGATCCAATGAGATGCTTTATGGCTAAAATGGATATTATCATATTAGTATTTGTGGAGTATAATCTGGACAGCTCCCCAGAAGTTAAATCAATTTTTTTTTAAGATTTTATTTATTTATTTGACAGAGAGAGACAGCGAGAGAGGGAACACAAGCAGGGGGAGTGGGAGAGGGAGAAGCAGGCTTCCCGCCGAGCAGGGAGTCCGATGCGGGGCTCGATCGCAGGACCCTGGGATCATGACCTGAGCGGAAGGCAGCCGCTTAACCGACTGAGCCACCCAGGTGCCCCAAGTTAAATCAATTTTAATTGAGTTTGGTATCTCTTAGGACCCCTTGTTATGGAGTGATTCATTTTGCCCTTTGCTATATGAAGCAGAGGACAGCTTGAAGAAGTCCCAGATGTATCAAACATTTATTTTTTTGGATAAGCCTAAACTTTTCACTAATTTCTATCTGTCATGCCACCCTAACTATATCTTCTGGTCCTGAGTGAAGCCTTGGTTCTATTTCCGAGACGGAGAGGGGAGTTATGGAGTTATCCAACACTCCTAATACAGACTGAGTATGTAGAAGAGATACTGGATCTCCTACAAAAGAGCAATCAGGAAAGCAAGCAATCAAAAGAAGAAAGACCGGCCCTATCCTATTTCATACGGCAGAAGGTTTTTAAGGTTCTAAGAGCCCTGGACACGTACCTGCAGTTTTCAGTCGTTACCCACCAGGCCTCACACACACTCTGTCACAGCGTGCTGATCACCAGGACACTCTTTAGACAAAGAAGGCTATGTAAAGAGAAATGGGGAGTGGGAGAAGGGAGTAAGGAGGACTTTTTCTGGAAGCCAAGAAGAATCCCCAGGGCTTAGAGAAGATGAAAGCAAACAGTTAAAGGAAGGAAGTTTGAATCGGTGGGACTGGTGGAAAATAATGAAAATGCAGCTAGCTGAGGCACTATAGGTTTATGTGAGAAGTACACCGGAAATTGTAAGACATCAATAGTAATATGCTGACAATACTAAATGGGCAGAAGCCTCCATCAACAGATTTTTCAGAATTCTCACAGAAGTTCTTTTCTGGGAGATGTTACGCCTCCAACTCGACAACCTCAGTCAGAGATGACTTCAGTTTCTTACTATGTTCATAAAGCTGTGATGAGCAGTATGACCTCATGTGTGGGGGAAGAAGGTCCTTTTCTTTTCCCTCCCACTTTATGGCCAGTCTGAACCACTAACCAGTAAAATATACATATAACTTTCCTTCTGACAATTACCAGATAACTGACCCAAATAGCTTCACTACTACTGGGAAGTTAAAAGAAAACAAAAATCACATCCACTGATGCCAGAACAACGGTGTTTTCTTTGACTAGGAAATGTATTACTTTCGATGCAAACTTTCCTTTCAGTAGGTTTATGTCAACCCCAATATCTTTCAAAGCCAATGAAATGTATATGGAATTCTAACAGACAAGCTTCCACAAATGAACCAAAGATGCCAAAAAACACAAAATACAGCATAGGGATGAAGTCCCCCATGAAGCATTCAGGCGAACACCTCATCTACTGGAGGCATTCGTGGCTGTTTGGCACCACGTCCGTTTTCTCCTCTCTAGACTGGATATTCTCCCAGGGGGTCAATAGAGTACATGAAATGAAATAAAGTCTTTACAAAGGAGAGTGTCATTAATTTCAAGTCACGTATCTCTGGAAAACATTTACAAAAAACATGCTTCAAGAAAAAATAAATAATTTCACATTACCTCCGGCAATAATAAATTATTTCTGTTGAGAAAATGATCTTTCTTGAGCTCAGTATTATGCTCAGATCCGGTTGTGGCAACAAATGCTTAAGTCTCCTTTAAAAGGAGCCTCGATGTCCATTCACAGTTCAGCAAGACATCTGTGCCAGGACAGGCTTTTAAAGTAAGATCAAACCTAATACTCTTATTACGAACAAACCAAATAAATCTTGTAATGGTAATCAAAGCAAGGAGGTATCCCTGAGTCATCAACGGTAATTTATTACTTTTTAAAGAAGAATCTATGTGAGGGGGATAAAGGACTGCTACCTTTTCCTACTCTAGGTCAAGAATTCCCTAAAGTGTGCCATTCCCAAAGAAGCTCATGGGATTGAGGGGAGAACTCCCTGGGAAGCATGGGTATGAACCGATCGGTCTCAGTGACCTGCAGAACCTTTGCAGCAAAAGGTTCTTTTACCAAATTGGTTCCACCTGGGCATGGATGGCCAGGAATTTCTAAGCCCCTCTGGTTTTTCTTCAGTCCTGGGAAAGAAAACAGCTCCTACCTAACAAGCGTAGTCCAAAGAGTTATGTCATTGATAAAGACAGAGAATTAAGAACTCCCTTGCTGCTAACACCTCACCCTCTGTCCCCAGAAAGAGAGAATGGAGATTATTTATCTTTATTAACAGAGGCAATGCAAGGTAAAAACAGAGCAAGTCCACAGGTGGAAAGCCATCATAGAGAAGCGGAAAGAGTCTTGCAGAACTCTGAAGTTTTGTTTTTTTTTTTTTTTTTCTCCTCCCTGGAGCCTGTTAGCTCCTTACAGATTGTCTTACACACCATCTCTGCATTCCAGTTTTTAACAATAATTTGGGGATGTAGTACGTGCTGAATCACCATTAAAGAGAATGAGTTAAGATGTGAGAGGCTGTCCTTCATGATGCAGAAGTCAGCTGACATGGGAGGAAAGCAAACTAGGCCATGGACAGAGTTTAAATAGAAAGAAGGGAATAAGTACTTAGATTTTGAGCAAACACATGCATGTTAGAATGTAAGCTCCTCAAGCACTGGGACCATGTCTTATTTATCTTTATGCTCCCAGCACATAATAGGCAGATAGTGTTTGCTGAGTAACGGGCAGCAGCTACATGGAAGAATCAGCCAACAATTACTGAGTCCCCGCTATGTACCATATGCCCCGCCATATGCTTTACATACAGTAACTCATTCAATCCTGACCCTAAGCCTAGGAGAACATACCTTGCCCCAGATCACAAGGCTGACAGAACCAGCACTAAGCCTCTCGGCCATCATGTCTCACTGGCAAATTGACCACTAGAGAATGTTAAAGTTACTTTGGGACCATGGATTAGAGAAGCTTTGCAGTGACTCTAAGTAGAAAGGAGACCTCCAGGTTATTTTTTAAGAAAGGGAGAGGGTACTGATCTGGGATGATATGCTGCAAGTGCTACCTAAAGGAGACAAATACATTATCAGTAAAATAAAATAAAAATAATAAAAAATAATTATGGGACAGGCTTGCCAGAATACAAAACTTCTTCAAAACAATCCGAAATCTTTTCTTTAAAAATGTCACGGTCACTTTAGAAGCCAATAAAGTAATATATACTAATTAAAGACACTGTGATCTCACGTATTTACCTAAGATGAACACTAATCACAAGCACAAGCATGTTCACTGTGCACTGGTGCCAAGGGTAGAAACATGGGGAAACAGGCTAGATGCCCACCAACAGACAAATGAATAATAAAACCAGTACATCCACGTTTTGGACTGCTCTGTAGCAAATGAATGAGGTAGCTCTCTGCCCCGGCAAAGAAAGATATCTGATGCAAGAGGTGAATGGAGCATTTGCACAGTGTGATGAACTTTTTGCTAAAACCAAACACAATACTATACCTTTCTGCAGATATGCATGCAAGAGAGGTGTGTGTGAGAGAGAGAGAGGAGATAGAGAGAGAGAATGCAAGTGATCCGAGGGTGCACACAGGTATCTGATTACCTCTCTTGAGTAGTGGATAGGGACCACGCACAGATTCTAGAGGGATTTTACATTATATACATATACTATAATGTGTGACACTTTTGTCAAAAGAGTATACATATATATTATTTGTATACATAAAAATTATTATCTTTTTTATTCTATTTTTTTTTAGATTTTATTTATTTGACAGAGAAAGACACAGCAAGAGAAGGAACACAAGCAGGCAGAGTGGGAGAGGGAGAAGCAGGCTTCCCGCTGAGCAGGGAGCACGATACGGGGCTCGATCCCAGGACCCCGGGACCATGACCTGAGCCGAAGGCAGACGCTTAACAACTGAGCCACCCAGGTGCCCCCGAACTTACCCAACTTAACCAGGAGTTGACGCTTAGGGTTATTAACTAATACACACTGCTTCACTCAACACATAAACGACAATTCTCGCAACAATGATAAATTTAGTAGGACAATATGGAGATGATGTTTCTAAAAAAGCAAATATTATCATTTTTAAAAACTGTACTCATATCTGAAAGTACCAAGAATAAAAATGGTAATAACTCCCATAACTAGATGACCTTTTTGTCCATGTTGACTTATTCAACTTGCCTATCCATTGTAAGATCTAATTTATCCTCTGAGGTACTTGCTGATTTCCAGGTCTGTAAATGTTCATATTGACTATTTCTCCACAAGTGAAAATTTTAACATCTGCTTTCATGAATATAAATTTGAGT